GATTTTTAAGCATGCTTTCCTGTGACTTTCTGCTGAGTGGATATTGCAGTAAAGTTGCTGCAGTCCTTGGAAGCTTTAACTGTGGTGGAGCCAGAAAAAATGTTTCAACACTAATTTTTGTGTTGCTAGGTATTGGTTTAAGAATGGTTTGTGCAAGTATTGTAGACAGCTTTGTAAAGAAATTCAGGATTCATCATCAGCCTGATGTTACAGTAAATGCTGATGCAAAGTCATTCCTGAGTCATGTAGCCTGTGAAACAGTACTTCTTGTTGCTTTGTTGTATCATGATTCTTTTGTTTTCAACAATTAAGCAGCTAATTAAGGCTGAATGATTCACTATATGGCCCTATGTGCTGGCAGACATTTTTTTGTCTAAGTCCTAGTTAAACCTTAGGAAAGTTACTTTTACTGGAGGGATTTGAAGAAATTTGTGCGTGTGTGTGTGTGTGTGTGTGTGCGCGCGCGCGCGCATGTATAGGTTTTGGGACTTGAATGCAGTCCCTGAGTGCGGTCCCTGAGATTTTTTTGCTCAAGGCTAGCACTCTATCACTTGAGCCACAGCTTCACTTCTGGATTTTTTAGGTAGTTAATGAGTCTCATGGACTTCCCTGATTGGGCTGGCTTTGAACCATGATCCTCAAATCTCAGCCTCTTGAGTAGCTAGGATTACAGGTGTGTGTCAACCAGATTCTGTCTCCCTGCTGTGCTTTTAAAAGCTAGAGAGGTAGTGAAGGAGGGCCAGTTGCTAATAGCTTTTCTAGCTCTCACTGTTTTTCTCTTGAATGAATACAGTTGATCACTGTGGGATAAAGTGGGTTTTCCCAGTCAGTACAATACCTACCACTATGAGAACTAGTGAGAGCCAGATGTACTAGTGGAGATTCACTAGTGGCTTTAGTCTTTTAAAAAAAATAATAAGTGGAGAAACTGCATGTGTGGCTAGCTATTCTCTCTAGAGTAACTATGGCACTTCTTTCTATTTGAATTCCTATCTGGAAGTACTCGTGCTTTTGTTTGAAGCTTCTGGAACAGTGTTTTAAGACTTTATTTATTTATGTTTGTGGAGCTTGAATTCAGGGCCTGGGTGCTATCCATTAGCCTCTCTGTGCTCAAGGTTAGCACTCTACCATTTGAGCTACAGCACCACTTCCAATTTTTGAGTAGTTAATTTGAAATAAGAGTCTCACAGAGACTTTTCTTCCTGGGCCACCTTCAAACCGTGGTCCTTAGATCTCAGCCTCCTGTATAGCTAGGATTACAAATGTGAGCCATCAGGGTCCAGCTGTTTTAAGACTTTAAAGCCAATGTAAAAGAAGTCTGAAAAATACTTGTAGAATACTATAAATATAGTTGGTCTTTGTCATTATGGACCAATAAATGCAATTTATTTTTCATGCATTACCTTAAATAGCAAATCTAGTATAAACATTGCTTCACAATGTAGCTTCTATAGTGCAAGAAAAAACAATTTTACATTTCTGTACTTGCATTGTAAAGTTTTTTGTTAGGGAAAGACCACATAATTCAATGTATCTGAACTAGTACTAGTGCTTTAAGAATGAAGTTACAGCAGGACTGTTCAGCACGGACACTACTGACATTTTTTTTTTGGGCCAGATAATTCCTTTCTATGAGGCTGTCTTGGAAATTGTGGGGATATTTAGTGGTGTCTCTGGCCAGCTTTTTCTGTTTATGTGGTACTGGGGAATCTAACCAAAGGCTTCATGCCTATAAGCACACTACTACTAAGCCACATTCCCAGCCCACTTACCCCATCATCAGTAAAATGAGACTATTACCTATATCAGAGTTGTGAAAAGGGAAGCTACACTGCTTTTCACCTCCAGCACAGTCCTGCTGCTTTCACTTTGGGGTGGATCTTGGATACATGGCTCCTACGGACATATTTTACCCCATTAGAGGCACTTTCCTATTGAAAGAGTGGTAAGTGGGTAAGTCAGAATGTTTGCGATGTCAGCATCAGAGTATCCTAGAATTCATGACTTGTAATTGTATTTTTCGATATGTTCTGAGAGCTGAGGCCCCTGGGCCTTTGGAGAGAAACTCCTGAAGCCCAAAGTCAGCCTGGCTGGAGGGGGAAGTTTCTCATTTTTCCTTAGCCAGTGCCCAAATGACAAATGAGCCCCCTTGATTCCATGGGACAAAGTCCAGCTACTCAAAGCAGGCTATGTGTGTTTTTCTCTTCCAGACTAGAACTCATATACAGTAGCTGTATGTCTGTAGTAAAATACTATTTTTACAGATTGACAGCTTACTTTTTTCCCCCAAAGGAATACTATCTTGTATTGTTTATTTGCCTTAATTTTATAACTGACTATAATAGATGTTTTGTTTCATAGCTCAAACTGGAAGATTACAAGGATCGCCTAAAAAATGGAGAGCAACTTAACCCAGACCAGTTGGTAAGTGGCTTATGTGATCCTTGGTCAGACCTGGTTTCTTTTTCTCATTAAAACTCTAGGTGGCTTTAATGATAGGCTGAAAGGGAGTTAGAATCTACTGGCTCTCTCTAAAGATGGTGTCATATTTGTTTATGATGTCTTACAGATTGGCTTTTTTTTCTGCTGTCTGATAGGTGGTTTAGGTTAAATAGGATGAAAATGTAGAGCAGCTCAGTTACTATCTAGAATTAAATTTATGCTAGGGTGGATTGAAGGAGAAGTTTTTTTAGTATTTTTTCTCAGTATTTACTGTAGCTTATCTCTGGTTTCTCCAGTTGCTTATCCATGTTTTTTTTCTTCTTTTTTTTCTGTCGTGGGGCTTGAACACTGGGCCGGGGCGCTGACCCTGAGTTCTTCAGCTCAAGGCTAGTGCTCTACCACTTGAGCCACAGCGACACTTGCAGTTTTCAGGTAGTTAATTGGAGATAAGAGTCTCACCGATGCCCCCCTCTTCCTCCCGACCCTCAGCCTCCTGAATAGATAAGATTATAGGCATGAGCCACCAGTGCCTGGCCCTGTGTTTTGTTTTTGTTTTTTTCATGGTTTTCCTGTACTTTTTTGCCTTGGATTTCCATGACCCTGGTAGACGCAATTATCTGATAGCTGTCTGGCTTACTGCCTCTTTTTTTTGGTCCTGGAGATTGAATTTAGAACTTTATACATGCCAAGCCTATGCTGTACTTCTGAAGTATACTCCTACCTCTGATACCTACCTTTTAAAATTTAACCTTAGTGAAGTTGAGTGCTGGTGGCTCATTGAAATCCTAGCTCTTCAGGAGGCTGAGATCTGAAAATTGAGGTTCAAAGTCAGCCCCAGCAGGAAAATCCATGACACTCCAATTAATCTCTAATATTGGATTTTCTCCGATTAGTCACTAAAAAAGTAGGAAGTGGAGCTATAGCTCAAGTGGTAGAGTGCTAGGCTTGAGCAAAAAAGGTCAGGTACAGCACCTAGCACTCAGGGCCCTGACTTCAAACCCTAGAACCAGCACATGCACAAAATTAACATTACTGTATGAAATTGGAGTTGAAGCATGGCTCAAGTGGTAGACACGAACCATCCTTAAGCACAAAAACTGAGAGAGAATTATTCTTCGTTCAAGTCTCTGGTATTGACATTCACATCCACACATAAAAATCTTTACTGTAAATATAGAAATATTTATCTTTTTTCCTTTACATTGTTTAACTTGGTTTACAGTATACCTGGTAACGGCAAATTTTAACTAATTTGTAAAAAAAGAGTCTTTACAATATAGAACAAAAGAATACTTCCTTGATGTTTTCTGTTTTGAGTTGATCATATTCCTGGTTTCTAAGAAGGGACAAAATTTATGTAAAAGTTATTTGATTTAGTTCGTGAGTCTGATATCTGATATCTTTTTCAACTATAATTTTTGTATCATAGATATTGGTATTCAAGGATTTTCTCATTTACTGAGTTGTCTTCTCTAACTCAAAAGTTTTGTGATGTTCTGAATTACAGTTTTGCTGAGGCTCATGTTTTGATTGTGTGGGCTCTGAGAATGGTGTGCAAACATAGCCCATGAGAGGACTTAGCTAGACACCCAGCATTTCAATATGGCTTTGTTTTCAAGTAGTCACATGTTAGAGCCAGTAACATTTGACTTTTCTTTGTATGTATCTTTGAAGGAAGTATTCTGATACAGGAGTGCTTTTCTGAAATGTAGGGAATAAAGTAGGAGGGTTGATTTTCTGAAAGAAATGTCAACAATATGGTATATTTGAAAGCTGTAGCCAGGGATTTTTTTTTTCTAACTTTCCTTTTTGCCACGTGGTTTCACAGCATAGTCCAGGTTGTCCTTAGACTCATGTTCCTCCTGCCTTTGCCACCTGGAGTGCTGGGATTGCAGCCATATACCACCATGCCCCACCAGGCAAACTGTAATCTTCATATTTCATAACCACTTGTTGTTTCTGCATTGAATATATGAATGTTGATTTCTTAAGTAATAAGCCAACAGTTGCCAAGAGATCAGTTCTCTGAACTGTGTGTTTTATTGAGATGGGTTTTCATGAGCTTTTTATTTGAGCTGGCTTTGAACATCAATTCTCCTGATTTCCACCTCATAAGTAACTTGGATTTCAGACATGAGCTACCATGCCTAACTGAAGTTGCAATTAAAAAATATTATTAACGTGTTGTACAGAGGGTCTACCATTTCATAAATCAGGTAATGAGTACATTTCTCTTTTGGACAAATGTCACTCTTCCTTTACTTTCCCCCAGTTTTCCCCTCCTATTTCTGCCTACAAGTTATATAGTTCACTTTTCACATAGTGTATACCGAATAGCATGATTGCATTTGTTCACTCTTCCTCCTGCCTCCATTTTATTAGTAAGTACTTATATAAAGAGGTTATAATTCTATAGGCCATATTATGAGCACAATGCTCACCCCTTTCATCTTTTTACTCCAGTTCCCCCTTTCCCTCAAGTTATATAGTTCAATTTTTATATAATGTACATTGAATATAATAACTGCTTTTGTAGCAACTTTTTCTTTTTGTCAGTTGTAGGGCTTGAACTCAGGCACTGTCTCTGAGCATTTTTGCTCAAGTGTTAGAATTATAAGCGTTAGCCACTGGTGCCTGGCTGCTGGACTATGGACTTTTTTTTTTTTTGGTATGGGGCTTGAACTCGGGGCCTGGATGCTGACCCTAGGTTCTTTTGCTCAAGGCTAGTGCTCTACCACTTTGAGCCACAGCACCACTCTGTTTTTCTGGTGGCTAATTAAAGATAAGAATCTCATGGCCTTTCCTGCCTGGGCTGGCTTTGAAGTTCAGTCTTCAGATCTCAGCCTCCTGATTAGCTAAGATTACAGGCATGAACCACCAGTGCCCATTGATTCTGTTCTTAATTGAAATGGAGATCTCAGTACAAGCTGAGTATCTTTTTGTTGTTGTTGGTTGTGGGGTTTGAACTCAGCCTAGGTTCTGTTTCTCAGCTCCTCAGCTCAAGGCTAGTGTTCTACCACTTGAGCCACAGTGCCACTTCCGGTTTTTCTGAGTAGTTTATTGGAGATGAGTCTCACAGACTTTCCTGCCCAGGCTGGCTTTGAACAGTGTTCCTCAGATCTTAGCCTCCTGAGTAGCAAGGATTACAGGTGTGAGCCGCTGGTACCTGGCTAAGTTGAGTATCTTTTAACTAAATACTTGGGACCACAATCATTTAAGATTTTTTTTTGGACTTTTTGGAATATATTTAACTGCTAATGGTTGAACATTTCTAATGTGAAAATCTGAAATACTCTAAAATCTGAGAATTTCTAAGCATAGTATTTGAGGACATTTCAGATTATTGGATTTGGGGATGAGGGATGTTAAATTGTCATATGATTCTGTTTAGAATGCAGCATCTTTGAGGCTCCAGGAGCAACCTAGTCAAGACAATACCTAGTTTACTATCAGGGTTATCATAACTAGTATGAGCCTTATGTTCATGGACTTGATTGTGAGCAGAGAGGAAACAAGCAAGTCCATGTGGACTTGGGGTGGAGTGCTCAGTGGTGAAGTACTTGACTAGCATCTGTAAGGCCCTGGGTTCCCAAATCAGCCCTGGGAAGAAATAAGTAAAAGGAAATAGTCAAATGTAGATACAATGTTGTTAGGAGAATAAGAGATGGTGATGAAGGCTCTAGTCTAGTCTGGAGAGTTTGAACTTAACCCTGAGCTAGGACAAGCCTTAAAAAGTGGGTAAGACTTAGCTGGAGATGGGGGAAGGAGTAGCTGGCCAGGCAGATGGTACCAAATGCTTGAGAAAGAACACAATATTTTCATGAAGACCCTTTCTATGAAACTAGAAAGGAGGCCTGAGTGGATATAGTGATGAAACTGAGGGGAAGTTTACATGATTTAGGTCTCTATGTGCCATCAATGTCCAAGGGCATCTGAAATAACACAGGTGTGGCTTAGACTGAGAACAAATACAAATGTTCAGTTAAAAAAATCACTTTGAAGTTTAAAGAATGATTTGGAAGCCAGGTATTGGTGATTCATGCCTATAATCCTAGCTACTCAGGAGATAGATCTGGGGGTAATGGTTCAAAGCTAGCCTTGGTAAGAAAGCCTATGAAACTCTTCCAATTTAACCAGCCAAAAAAACTGGAGATGGGGCTGTGGTTCAGGTGGAAGAGCACCAACCTTGAGGGAAAAAGCTCAGGGACAGTGCCCAGGCCTTGAGTTCAGGCTTCAGTACTACACAAAACCACTCTGATTGCAGCACAATGACTTGGAGTTAGTAAATTTAGCAATCTAGGGGAAGGTTAGGGGAACTGTACCAAGGAACTGTGGGAAAGTTGGAGTAAAGTAGCTGAATGTGAGAGGGTAAACTCCATATGGTTTTCTAAGTGAATGTAGGAACCAGAGGGTAGAACCAAAAGTGCTTTCTGTCGTTTTGTTTGTTTGTTTTTGTTTTTGAGTTTTTGGTCATAGGCCCTGAACTCTGGGCCTCAGCTCAAGGCTCGCACTCTAGCACTTGAGCCACAGCGCCACTTCTGGCTTTTTCTGCTTATGTGGTGCTGAGGAATCAAACCCAGAGCCTCATGCATGCAAGGCAAGCACTCTATCACTGAGCCAGCTTCTCAGCCCTCTCTCATATTTTTAAGTGGTTGGGTGGATGGTAAAACCATGTATTGAATGCAAATATTGTTAGAGAAGATGGTTTTAGGAGAATGGGTACAATAAAGAGCTCAAATATAAACTATTGGTTTTAATGTTCCTATGAGTTATCAAGGGGTCGTGTCTAGTAGGTATTTAAGTATATAAGTCTGGAGCATAGGGTTCAGTCTAGAGATATATCACCAGTTTGGCTGCTAATTAAACCATTACAAAAGAGTCTATCATGGGCAAGAATAAAGCAGAACAGAAGCCAAGGACAGAGTTCTGAGGAGCTCTGACATGTAATGTTTGGCTGATAATGGCTAGAAATATTAGCACTTACAGGGGTCAGGCATCTTTCTGAGTTGTCCTATATGTATTTTATCATTTAACTGTAATTCATCTTATGTGAATTAGGTCCTATTATGTCTATTTTATGGACACTAAAAACAGGTGAGAAGTTAATGGAAATATTGTTGGTAAATTATTGGAGAAATGGGGGAAAAGGGAAGTGTAATGATATGGAAAGCTAGGGAAACAGCTAGGTGCTGATGCCTTATGCATGTAATCCTAGCTACTCAGGAACCTGAGATATGAGGACTTGAGGCCTAGCTTTTTGCTGGTTAATTTGGAGATGGAGTCTTGTACTTTTTTACTCCAGCTGGCTTTGAATTGTAATCCTCAAATCTCAGTCTTCTGAATAGCTAGGATTGAAGGCATGAGCTAAGGGCACCTGGCTTTCCAGAAAGATTTGAGTTAAATTCCCTTACCTCCTGCTTATCTCTTATCAGTCTGCAACATTTAAAAACTTGCTTCTTTAAAGTGATACTTTCTAGTATCACTTGTTATTCTCTTATAATACTTAATTATGTCTTTATAGGTAGTTATTTACACATATTTTCTATCGTATTGTAAATGTCTTCAAGTAGCCAGTTATTTGTGATACTTGTACTACTTTTCAGTGGTAAATGAATATTAACAAAGGAATCTATTGATTTGGTGCTTTGTAAAATCTACAGGCGGGATGGGAAGTGGAATAGTGCTTGCCTAGCTCGCATGAGCCCTGGGTTTGATTCCTCAGTATCTCATGAACAGAAAAAGTTAGAAGTGACACTGTGGCTCAAGTGAATGCTAGCCTTGATCAAAAGAAGCTCAGGGACAGTGCCCAGGCTCTGAGTCCAAGCCCCAGGATTGGCAAAAACAAAACAAAACAAAAATAGAATCTATGGGCCTAAGTTAAACTCTCTATATTGGGCTCTGATTTCTAATGTAAAAGTGGATTTTCTAGCACTAAAATTGAATTTCTAGCAGTAAGCTCAAATTTTTGCATTTAACTTTATGTAGCTTCTGATTGCTTTTTTATGTTTATTTTTTAAATATTTTTTATTCTTAGTATAAAGGTGATGTACACAGGGTTTACCATTCCATAAGTCTGATAATGAGTACATTTCTTTTTGGACAATGTCATCCCTTCCCTTGCTCTCTCCCTATTTTTCCCTTGATCCCCACCCACAAATTGTATAGTTCATTTTCAACATGGTGTCTAGTGAATACCAATGCTCTACTGATTTTTTTTTAAGGTAAATAGTTTTCTGTGTTTCTGTAGTAAAGGGATAGTTTCTAAAGTCTTTTTTTTTTTTTTTTGGTCATGGGGCTTGAACTCTGAGCTTGGGTGCTATCCCTCAGGTCTTCAGCTCAAGGCTAATGTTCTACCACTTGAGCCACAGCACCACTTTCCCATTTTTCTGGTAGTTTATTGGAGATAAGAGTCTCATGGACTTTCCTGCCAGGGCTGGCTTTGAATTGTGATCCTCAAATCTCAGCCACCTGAGTAGTTAGGATTATAGGCGTGAGCCACCACTGTCCGGCAGTTTATAAAATCTTAACTCTCTCTTGATGTATTTTCTTGAGCCACACCTCCAGCCCATCTGCTGTGTCATGGGAACACTTATTTTGAGATATTTTGTTTATACATAGTCACAAAATTGACGTTTTCTTATCTGATTTGATAGGAAGCAGTAGAGAAATATGAAGAAGTGCTACATAATTTGGAATTTGCAAAGGAGCTTCAGAAAACCTTTGCTGGACTGAGCCAAGAAGTGAGTATGTTTGCTTTTCCCAAAACACTTTCAGTCAGTTACCCTGAAGAAAATGTTAGTATCTAATAATAATATTTGTTTATCACTGGGCTTGCCTGCCTTCTTTCTTTCTTTCTTTCTTTCTTTCTTTCTTTCTTTCTTTCTTTCTTTCTTTCTTTTTCTTTCTTTCCTTCCTTCCTTCCTTCCTTCCTTCCTTCCTTCCTTCCTTCCTTCCCTCTTTCTCTCTTTCTCTCTTTTGTTTTGGTGGCCGTGGGGTTTGAACTCTGGGCTTGGGTGCTGTCCCTCAGCTCTTCAGCTCAAGGCTAGCACTCTACCACTTGAGCCACAGCGCCACTTCCCATTTTCTGGTGGTTTATTAGAGATAAGAGTCTCATGGACTTTCCTGCCCGGGCTGGCTTTGAACCACGATCCTCAGATCTCAGCCTCCTAGGTAGTTAGGATTATAAGCATGAGCCACTGACACCAGACTTTATCCACTAGATTTCTGTTAATATTGTAGTGGGGATGAGAGATTGAGAAGAGCAGTTTTCTGAGTTTCTGGTATCTGAAGGAAACATGCCTCTTTTCTTTCTGTTGCAGATAGGATTTTGACAATCCTGCCTCAGCCTTAGTGTATTAATGTGCTACCATGCCTGGCTAAACATCTCTCAGAGTTTATTGTTACTGTTTCAACAACATATCCATTGGCAGAATCTTAAGAGTTTTTGTTTATCTTCTTGTTGGAAAATATCCAATATGATGAAAACTTTGCATTTAAAACCTATGAGAGGCTGGGCACCAGTGGCCTCATGCCTGTAATCCTAGCTGAGCTCGGAGGATCGCATTTTAAAGCAAGCCTGGGCAGGAAAGTCTGTGAGACTCTTCAATAAACTACTCAGAAAAAGCCAGAAGTGGTGTTGTGGCTCAAGTGGTGGTAGAGCACTATCCTTGAGCCTAGGCCCTGAGTTCAATCCCCAGGAACACATACACACACAAATCCTATGAGAGGAAAATTATTTTCTTAGTGGAACTGATGTAATTTTTTTTTTTTCTGGTCCTAAGGCTTGAACTCAGAGCTTGGGTGCTATCCCTGAGCTTTTTTGCTCAAGGTTAGTGCTCTGCCACTTGAGATATAGCTCTACTTTTTTTGTTGTTTCATTTTTTTGTTTTTGATAGTAATTGGAGATAAGAGTCTCATGGACTCTTTATTTTGTACATTTTGAATTTTGGAGTAAATGCCTATTTGTAATGAGATATTTTGGGGCTAGGACTGAAGTTTTGATATGAAAATCATTTGTGTTTTATATATATGTATACACATAGCCTGAAAGTAATATACTGTATTCAGTGCATTGACAATTTAACTATGTTTTGGTTTTTATTTTGGGTCCGGTCGTGGGCCTGTACTCTGAGCCTGGGCGCTGCTCCTCAGCTCTTCAGCTCAAGGCTAGCACTCTACCACTTGAGCCACATCGCCACTTCCGGCTTGTTTTTTGCTTATGGGTGCTGAGGAATCGAACCCAGGGCCTCAAGCATGCAAGGCAAGCGCTTTATCACTGAGCCACCTTCCCAGCCTGACAATTTAACTATGATCCATCACAGGCAAGTGCCTGACTTTCAAACCCTTAATCTTTAGCTAATCTTTGATGGGTTGCAAACTTACTTTTAAATCACAGGAGATTAGGTGTGGGATTTTCTACTTGAGATGTCATGTTGGTGCTCAGTAAATATCAGGGTGTGTGTGTGTGTGTGTGTGTGTGTGTGTGTGTGTGTGTGTGTGTGTGTGTGTGAGGTTTTAAATTGAGGGCCTTATACTTGCTAAATAGTATTTTACAACTTAATTCCAAATTTTGGAATTTTCAGTCAAGCATGATCAAACTGTGTTACATTTCTAAGAAAAAGTGTTAACTTTTCAGTTGTGTGTGTGTGTGTGCATGTGTGTGTGTGTGTTGGTATTGGAGCTTAAACTCAGGGCTTTTTTTTTTTTTTTTTTTGTCGGTCGTACGGCTTGAACTCTGGGCCTGGGCACTGTTCCTCAGCTCTTTAGCTCAAGGCAAGTGCTCTACTGCTTGAGCTACAGTGCCATTTCCGGTTTTCTGGTGGTTAATTGGTGATATGAGTTTCATGGACTTTCCTGCCTGGCCTTTAAACTATGATCCTCAGAGCTGAGCCTCTTGAGTAGCTAGGATTACAGGTGTGAGCCACCAGCGCCTGGCACAAACTGAGGGCTTTTTTGCTCAAGGTTGGTGGTCTACATTTGTGAAAACCTCCACTTCTGGCTTTTTGCTCATTAATTGGAGATCAGGGTCTCACAGACCTTTCTTTTTTTTTTTTTGGGTCCGGTTGTGGGGCCTGAACTCTGGGCCTGGGCGCTGTCCCTCAGCTCTTCAGCTCA